TATATATAACAGCAAGACTACAATAAAATATCAAAAAATACAATGAAAATGAAAAGACGTGCAAAACACAGTATCTATAATATACCTCTCTGACATATACAGTATGTGCACAATTTAAGTGTAACCAACAGGAAGATACAGTTTTCAGTATTACTGCTCTTTGTTTTTGTTTGTTGTTTGTTTTTTCAACATACAGTACAGCTCTTTTCGACACGGAGCAGGTTATAAAGCCCACAACATTGGACGTTTCCTGTTATTATATTTTCTGCACGAAACTGCGTTCAGAAATCTGACAATTTAACACACCCTCGCTTTTAAGTACAAATAAATACGCAAAATAACATTACTTCAAAACTAGATTTACTCATTAATAGTAAGTCTTCGTTTCGGCATACATATAAACATCTAAGCAGCACTTTAAATTAACTAAATAACGACTTTTCGAAGTCATTACCACTTCTTGTCACCGCCTACTACTACGTGTAATGTCAAGGACGCTCTGAAATAAAACGGTTAACAGTATTTAATTAAAGCACCCCTTGTTAATTATATTAATGCCGAATCCAATGTAGAACTCCAGTAATTCAGATATGATCTTAAGTGATGTGTCTCCATGTAAGGAAATCGTCGATACGCAAGGGAACAGTAAAATTAACACAGTTTTGGTAGCTGTATTCGTTAACAAGGATGGCTAGCTAACGGAGTAACACGTAAGCTAACAGGCTATAATGACTGTTAACTGAGACGAGGAGCCAAAGCGGAACCCTGAAATAAAGAGCATGCACTTCTCTTATTAAATACATGATGTGAATGTTTACTGTCACTTAGAATAAAGTAAATTACACATAAACATCTGACCTTTCCACACACTCCGCGTGCAGGTTGCCATGTCTGGGAATGACGCTGTTCCGTGTGGAAACAGCGGTACGTGCTAAACAGTTCCGCCTGGAGAGTACAAACCAAACCTCCATGCAAAAACTGCCAATCTATGATTATCTTCACTACTGGTAAATGCTGAATACTTAAGTAAAATTCTAAGTTACTATGTGGAATTGCTCGGGTCCATTTTTATATTCGGGATAGGTTTGATACACCAGAATTCACTTGCTAAGTAAATATAATAAAGTTTGACTTAGATGAGCATTTAGCAACTTCCAAAATATAGACAGAAATCCATAAAACTAAAGTTTAGCTTGAGGAAATGTATGCCGAATTTTCCAGTGGTGTCTATATATTGTAAAAGGATACACGAATCGATTAATGGCAAGCTAATTTTCTTTCTATTTGATATTAAATTGAGATTTAAAAGGAGTTTGGTCATGCTTTGAGCTAAACCAGGAAATGCTACGCTCACACTGGGATTTTCTCATAGTGGAAACAGCGTCTTGTGTTTTATTTTGTTCTTGAATTAAAAAAAGGAAACGATTTTCCAAATTTTGACATGATATGAACAAGGGAGAAAATCTGGGGGTGCATGCCGTGTGCGGACGAGTACGAGCGGAAGTCGCGTTTGTTGTTCTTCCTTCTGTTTCCGAGACGTTCAGGGTCTAAACGGGTTCAACAGCCGTGTCTGCATGTCTCTACCAATTCCCTCTATAAATCGTCTTCTACCGCTCCCGAATGAAGGTAATAACAATTCTGATTTTGTTCTCACTCTGCGGACACGCTGTCCAGGTTGTCCCGGGTTATATTTCACAGTTAAATCCGCTTCCGATTGTGCCAGCACCGTCTACCCCCGCACCGCGTCGGTAAGCCCGGGCGGCGTGCGCCCTGCTGCCGCTAGCCAAACAAATCCAGCGCCGTGCTTCAAAGCTCACCCGGCGGTTAACGTGTGTGTGCGGTGTTTCGGTTGTATTTTAATAGTTTCAACAGTGTGAAAGGTTTAAATAGACACAACCAGAGGGCGTGTTTACCTCATTGCCAGGTGTGACAGCTGGTGAGCAGTGGGCCGAACTTGTCCTGAACGGGCCCCCATCCATGTAACGTTACGTGCTTGTCACTTTTGACATTACAGCTATGTTGGGACGCTCAGCTGTTGGCGCAGTTGCCATTGCAACATATTTTCCATTTGCAAAAAACTCCCGACTTGTTAGAATAACGTTAATGACACAGTCACCAAAGCAGCAGATTTGGGGTTCAGCACTCGGTGATCTGTCACAGCCCCCCGGAGCCTCAAATGTTATCGACCCCAGCTTGAGATGAAAGCCGCCGGCGCAACAGTCTCCGTGCGGCTGATACGACCCGCTGCCAGCAGGCCGTATATCTGCCCGCAGCCGCTTACTTGTGACCCAGAAGTGTGTAAACAAGTTATGTAAGTCCTCTCCAAACTTGTTCACCCTCAGCCGACCTCATGGCGACTGGATTCATAATATCATGCACCCTGCTCTTTTCTCTTCTGTCACTTGTTTTGCTCACACGCACAATGTTCACATGTCAGTGGATAATAAATAACAAGTCACGCAACATAATGTGTGTCCCTGAGCCGTGCAAGCAGCAGTACTCTGACAGCAGGGGAGTTTACCTGCAAGCTGCTGCTGCAGGCTGGCTGGTTTCTGAGAAGACCTCCTGCTGATTGCATGGCTGCAGAGCAAGTGTCACTACATGAGGAATCCCTGTGTCTTCAACCTTGTAACTTGTTGTCTTATAAACATGTGTACTGCTTTGAAGCATTGCACATGGTGTCTGAGAAGAAGCTTTGAAGCTCATATGATAACCAGTCACGTTTAAGACAACATGTCACTTAAATTATCATGCAACTTTTAACTTTTTAATGTCAATGCATCAATCAGCCTCTGAGGTGTTTTCATGTCTCCTATCATGACATAGATATCTCACCTTAGCAGCATATTCTTGTGTTCACATTCAGGTCACTTTTTGTGACACAATGTGTGTTATTACCAGCAATGCATGTTATATTATAACGTCATACACATGCTCAGAGGTGGCAAAAAAATGTGCTTTCCTAATAGACTTAGACACATATTTTTCCTTTGTTGCACAGGGCTGTGGACAAGACTGCATCTGTTTGGTCCAAATTAAATTCAAGGCAAACTCCAGTTTAGTGTAAGCCGAAATAAAAGCAACTCAAGTTCTATTTGAAAATGCCAAAATGTGCATGCTTTAGTTGGTTTGATGTACTTCTGCATTATACCCTTGAAAAATGTTCAACTGTGATACACAGGTTGAAGTTCTTAACATTGTTCTTGTTTCTGGTTAGGCTGGGCACAGTGGCGTAGGGTACTTGCGACGGGCCCCAGTTGATGCTAGTTAATATTTATGAGGCGCACACACACAACTAGCAACTGTTAATATAAAATCCAAAGGAATCTAATTTCTTATTCGTTTCCCTCTTGTTCATTCTTACTGCCGCTTTTATGTGTAAAAGGCTTGACTGCTCGCTGGGCTTGTAGATGTGGTCAGCTTGTCAGTCTTGACAGATTTTGCGCCTGAATTAGCAACTGTATCGTATTGTGTTGTCACATGATCCAACGGAGATTTGACATTAGGCAACATTAACAAACATGTTACCCAGTAATCATCATTGCAGACCTGTAAATGACAACAATATCAAAGAGAATAAGAAATTATTCATTTAATTGAATATTTTTTTATGTGTAGTTTATTCAGAGTTTTATGGGGGTTTTTTTTTTTAGAATAATTGTTTAATTTTTGTCATACATTGCTACTGACTATTTTACCTAAAAAGGAAAAGAAAATTATGATGGACATGAGTTTGAACTTTATAGTAAATGGCACCATTTTTAATTCAGTATGAGTTTTTATAAACACAGGTGTAGTTCCAAGGTGGCAATCTGAATCATCATGCAGGCCCTCCCACCACACAGCCCCAGTGCAACAGCACTGCCTGCACTGTCTATATTTACGCCCCTGGCTGGGTACGGTTTGAATCGACATCACAGTTTTAATAAGAATTTTTATCTTGTATTGATGTATGTATCATGATTCGGCAAATATGTGCAAAATGACGCGTAAAATAACAAAACTGATCGTCAACGCACCGAAACCTAATGTTAGTTAATAAAAAAAAAGACACCTTGCTGCATTGACACTTGCATTTCCCCTGGTATCTGTATATGTGCTTAAAATTATTAGTTTAACAACAGACTTTTGTAAAACTAAAACATCAAATGATATCATTTAACCTAATTTTTTCAGCCTTACTTTCTGGGAGACAAATCAACCGTGTATTAAAATAATTACCAATGTTTTACAGTCATGTATAACCCCCCGAAAAAAGTTTGAGAAGTTAACGAAAGTCCAGATTCAGATGAGAATCGACTCACGTAGCACTTGTCGGTGATTACTGACATATTGTACTTTTTTGTCCCATGAACACAACAGATGTGCGCTGATGTGTCCCACTGTTATACACTGCGTGAGCTCAACTCCTCACACATAAAAACCTAATTTGGTTAGTTTATAATTGTTAGTTTAGTTTCAGTGTGCAATATCATGCTGTTATGATACTTGAATAGTGCTTGGGGTTAATAAAGTATCTATCTGTAATAATTCTTACTTTAGACAACAGAACTTTTGTAAAATCTATAACATTACATGATATAATTTCACAGAATTACCACGGCCTTCATTTCTGGGAGACAAATCAACAATGCATTAGTAAAAATACCAGAGTTTTAAAGTTTTATTTAACCAAAAAAATGTTTGAGAAGTCAGCTAAAGTCCAGATTAAGATGAGAATCCAGTCATGTAGCCTTTGTGTGGTCCCTTTTTTGTCCCATGAGCACCGCAGATTTCTGCAGAAGATGTTTTCAGACAGGAGCAATTTAAAGAAATTATTTTTAAAATATTTCTTGCATGAATCAGTTTGGGGGTGAGATCACACAGGACAGGATTATTGCCAGAATGTATTGATTGTCACTCTTGTTAGGGCATCTGGTGGGAAAGCTGCTGTTGGTGTGAGGGTCTGTAATTCTGCACTAAAATTGTCTTGGCACCATGTTTTAATTTGCTTTGGCTCGTAGATCTAAAGTTTATTTTCCTGATCTTCTCACAGGATTAACTCTCCACATGGACTCAGCTCCGACAGTCACATTAAATTCTTTAAATCACGTGCTGCACACGTCTCACTGATAACTGAACAATCTATGACCCATGACTGACATCAGCTCTTTATATAGACGTAAGGTTTCGTTCGAGTGTGCCATAACTGTCCACCAGGTGCTTCCTCTGTGGTTTGGCTCAGATTCGTTCGAGGCTCTGTGTTGTTCTCATGCAGCCGAGTGCCGGTAAACGCTGTCTGAGGCAGCTGAGGTTCATGACTCCACCAGCCACGGTTTTGAATATTTAAATTACTAGGAAAATATTTTACAGGTGGCTGGAAAATTTGGGAGCCCTGCCATTCACTGAGACCCGGAGAGAAAAAAGTGACAACTTTGTCACAAGTGATCTTTGATGTTGGAAGTTTATGCTGATCTGTCTGAGGAAAAATTTAGGTCTCCGACAAGAAACACACACCTGAGGACAGCTGTGTTTTACGGTGCTGTAGGACTCAAACAGAATAAGATTTCTTATCCAGATTAAACAGAACATAAAGTATATTTTAAAACACACAATAAAGACAGGAAACATTTGTTGGTTATTTATTGTGGAGCTAAAAACATTAGTTAATTGTTCAAGGAGTGGATTGAAGGAAAATCCATCAGCAACTATTTTAATTGGTAAATCATTTGAGTAGTTTATTGGGCAAAAAAATCAGTGTTTGTGTTTTGAAGACGTTGTCTTGGGTTCTGGAAAACTGTGATGGACATTTTTATTATAAATGTTATGATACTGTACAGACTAAATCATTAATCAGTATAATAATCAGTAATGCAAAGGCAAGGAAACATCAACATGATCAAAAAATAAAGAGTTGCAGCTGTAGTTCGCTGATTTCCAGAATATAATGGCCACTTTTCTAATAAAATAATAATAAATTACATTTATATAGCACACTTTCAAGTCAAATGACTTCTCAAGGTGCTTAACTATTTTAATGACCAAATATATTATTAATAATTCAGAACCAGAATCTATTTTTATTGTTGCAAACATGCAGAAGTATTATTTTAATCACAAAATTTTTAATTTGAAATTATTTAATTATTTGAAATTAATCTGTTAACTTCAGTTTTTTATTAAGCTCAGTGGTATTATTTAATTATTTTTTTTATTTTTTTATTTTTTTATTTTTTGTACAAAGTGGCCCTGTGGAATTTTCTTATAAACAAACAAAAGTTCTGTTTACATTCTTACTCTCCAAAGCACAGTGTGTGTATCTTTGGGGTCTAACACTGCTGGTTTAAGTCTTTTAAATAAATGTTAATTATTTATTTACATCCATGTTTACCAGCTTGCTGTCGTCGTCTTCTGTCACCTCAGTGCTGCCTAATGAGTGTTTCTTGCTTTGTTTGTTTTTTTTTCGTCCTCAGATTAACAGGTATGCCAAAGGAAAAATATGATCCTCCAGATCCCCGCAGATGTTACACCATCATGCCAGCGGAGGAGGCGGCCAGTGGGAAGAAGTCTTACTGGGCTGAGCTCGAGATTTCTGGTCAGTCTGACAAACTCCCTCTGTGTCTGCTTCTATGAAAAATATCCCAGCTGAGGCCTTGAAGCTCAGGTGTGAATCTGTACCGAAACTGATAGGAGTGAAACCCAGCAGAGCCCAGAATTGAAAACCACTACCTTTTTTTTTTGCAATATAAGAACATCAAGAAAAGGTGGCTTCATTCTGGTCTCTGATATCCGGTCCAGTTTTTCAGTCCTTGGAAAGCAAACATTTAAAAATGTAGCGGAGTCGTGGTTTTAATCTGTGAGATTGAGCAGAATGTCAAATGAGTTCCCAGTATTTTTCTCGGTGTGTCGCTTCCTGACATTTTTTAATCTCCCTCAAACTGTACTGTTTGTGCAAACTAAAGCTGAGCTGTTTCTTATTTCGGATGTTGCAGATTAATCAACACAAAACTATTTAAGAGGCGCCCACTAGCTCACCTGGTAGAGCAGGCGCCACGTGTACAAAGGCTGTGTCCTTGCCGCAGCGGCCACAGGCTCGACTCCCTGGCCCTGCATGCTATAACTCGCCTATCAAATAAGAGCAAAACTCCCCCCTGAAATATAATATAATGGTTTGTGATTTGTAAGTAAAATGCCTCGGGTTCTAGGTAATTATTTTACATATTTGTGATATTTTTGAATGAATGAATGACTTTATTTCAACCAAAAATATAAAAAAAACACAATAAAAAAACAAACAAGACAAAGACAACAGTGTCTGAAAAGGAGTTGGTAGAAGTAAAGCTTGTATGTCCCGACCCCTTTTTTTTTACATTTCTTCTTTTAACTCAAATTATTTCAACAAATCCCTAAATTTATTTACAACTAATATACAACCATCCCCAGTCTATTTACCACCCAATTAAATAAATAAGTAATAAACCCAGTTTATTTACAGTCCACCCAGTGGACCACGACTCCGCTACATTTTTAAATGTTTGCTTTCCAAGGACTGAAAAACTGGACCGGATATTAGAGACCAGAATGAAGCCACCTTTTTCTTGATGTTCTTATATTGCAAAAAAAACACCCAGTGTTAGAAAATAAATATGTGCTCCTCTAACACAACTTTTCCTCATTTATACATCTGCCAAAAATATCTTCTTTGTATAGTTAGACCAAATCATTAATTGGTTAATCAAGAAAAAAATTGTAAATTGTAAATGTAAAATTAAAACTATCTAAAAGGAAACAGTCTGTTTTCTTTCCTCAGATTTAAAATGAGTGTTTTCTTAATGAGTTCTGGAGGTGATGTCCTTTTTAAAAACACTCTGCTATTCCTGTGTCTGTCTCGACGCAGGACGGGTGAGGAGTCTGAGCAGCTCGTTATGGACGCTCACCCACCTGACGGCGCTGCACATCAACGACAACAACCTGAGCCGCATCCCGCCAGACATTGCCAAGCTGCCCAACCTGGTCTACCTGAACCTGTCGTCCAATAAGCTCCGCAGCCTGCCCGCCGAACTGGGCAACATGGTCTCTCTCAGGTAGGTCGGGCCCATTCAGGAGACATACCTGTAGGTATTTCAGGGACATTGTGAGACAGTTTATCCTGGATACACAAAACAGGCTTCTTAAATATGGAGAGAAAAATTAACTTACTGTTACACTTTGTCACAGATCTTCAGAGAGTGGTTGAATATTCTGTGATATGACTTAAGATAAGAATAAAATCTTTTTTACAGTATATAATTTTACATTACAGCAGGGATTTATGGTGTAAAATAGGAACATTTCTGGAACTTTATTTGAAAACTTGTTGTCTTGTAATCAGGAGTCTTGAAGTCGTTGTGGTTTTTACACCACATGACTGACTGGCGACCGGCGACACACACAAGATCTTTCACTGGAGGAATCCCTGATGTCATATGATGCAGCGGTCAAAACACAACTCAGGGGGGCTTACTCGAAAATATCTAAGTCAAAAACTGACGACAAGAAAAGTTATGAGGCTGACAATTTACAGAAACATTAGGTGCAATAGTCCACCTTCCACCCTCTCATCCCGTCTCACTGTTACTTCTTCACTGTCCCTCTCAAACACACACTCATCTTGGAATACACAGACACAGCTTATCTCTGTCCTCAACCCGTGTCGTGAGCTCTCTTTGGCTGTGGCTCACGACCAGGTCAAGGACAGGTCCAGATATTTAGCTTGCTGATATCTGGAGTGTCTGGAGCGCTCGAGCACCAATTCGCAAGCACCGAGCCAACGCTGAGATGCCTCTGATGTGGGGCTTTTGTCTGCTGTTAGCAAGCAATCAGATTTTAAGGTGTATAGTGTGAATCAGACATTATTGGCCAGAATGAACTGGAGGAATTGTCACTGTTTTAGGACAGATGAAAAAATATGAACTTATGCTTTAAATATGTGGCCGCCTTTAAATTGAACCCACTCTGTAATCACACTAGGGTTGGGAAACCGCTAACATTTTCATATCATCCATAGACGATCCGATCACCAGGTTATGAGGTGATTTGTACAAAACCATATCCATAAGTACTCCCATCAAAGCAAAGTTTTGGTGAGCAGGCAGAACGAAGAAGCAGGGTGTCAGATTCCTGGCAAAGAGATGGCAAACTGTTTTGCAATCAAGGATTTAAAATTTACTTGTCACTCGTGCTGATTAACGGGGCTCAGCTGGCGGATGTGCTGCTCCACCAGAAACATCTTAATGTGCACAGTAGGGCACAGAGTCTAGAGATTATTTTTATAGCATCTTACTTCTGATTAATTGCCTCAACTTTGACATAGGAAAAATTAATCATCGATCATCCCTTCAATCATCGATATATGGTCTGATCCAATCGACACAAGCCTAAATTATACTGTTGATTTTGTTTTTGGTTAAATGCAGCTTTAATTGAAAATAGTGACAGTAGCGTTTAACCTTTTAGACCAGATATGAATTTCAGATGTGATGTGTGTATGTTGTAATGTCATAAATAATATCTCAATGAATAAGAGGCCTCTGCTTTGTAAGTCTGCAGTGTTTGGGTAATTCTTTACACAAACAAAGTACCCAAGCTTCCACTCAGCATATCTACTGACATTTGTTGACTTACACAAAGGATTGAATCTTGCTAATGACTTCATTTTTCACAAAGCTTTCACTCCACTTCAACAGTGTATATTTTGTCTCGAAGAATAAATGGTTCTTTGGATTCATTCAAAGGATTACGTGCCACACGATCCGAAAGCACAGAAGAGAAGTGATTAAAAAACTTGACGATTAAAACACAGTGATCAAAACACACAAGAAAGAGCAAGATTATGAAATGTGTGGGTGTGTGAGTAGTTATCCCGCAGGGCTCAGAAAAGCATCTCAAAACTGACAAACAAAAAAACAAAGATGACAAGTGAAGACACGTTTTGACTGGAAGACTTAATTGAAGTGACAACAAAGGACGACATGGTCGACGTTGTGACACCAGTGAAAATACACTGATGACAAGGAATTACTATGTTGTAAAAATAAAGTTTGGGAAAGACACAATGCTGATATTCTTTTCTCCCGTTTTCTTGTAGGGAATTGCTTTTAAACAACAATCTTTTACGAGTTCTGCCTTATGAACTTGGGAGGCTTTTCCAGTTACAAACCTTGGGGCTTAAAGGTGAGTCCTGCCTTTTTATTATTACTAAAAGTTTGGCTCCATAATATAACTTAAATTAAATTAAAGTGGCTGGCAAATTAAACATGTAAGTCATTTCATGGTTGTTTTGCAGGAAACCCTTTGTCCCAAGACATCCTCAATCTGTACCAGGAGCCGGACGGAACCAGAAAGCTTTTGAACTACATGCTCGACAATCTAGCAGGTGAATGGCTCAGCGGCTTCACGTTACCACACAACCGTTTTATTGGAACTCATGCATGATTAAAGGGCAGTTTATTGTAAACTGGAGCAGCACAGGTGTATCGTAGCAGGTGTACCATTGTGTTTGTCACGGGCCATTGAGCGCTTGTCCCTAATTTGCCCCTGCCTCCGCCCTGTTTTGCAGTGCACCCAGAGCAGCTCCCCCAAAGACCTTGGATCACTCTGAAAGAGCGAGACCAAATGAGTTCCACAGGTACGTTCAGAAGGGTCTTTCTTTTATTTTTTTAAAAGCTGCAGCAGCCTAGATTTTACACAAAAATTCACTTATTTCATCAGCTTAAAGGACCAGATCACCCCAAAATCAAAAATACATATTTTTCCTCTCATGTGTAGTGCTATTTATCAAACAAGACTGTTTTGGTGTGAGATGCCGAGTGTTGGAGATATCAGCCGTAGAGATGTCTGCCTTCTCTCCAGTATAATGGAACTAGACAGCACTCAGCTTGAGGTGTTCAAAGCACCAAAAATATAGATTTCTGAAAAACTTAACAGCAATGGCTCTACATTACATGACTCTACGGACTGCAGCGTTCACAGCTCCACCTTTTAGTACCGGATCTGTGTGTACCCCAACAGAGGGGGGACCAAAATTGGAGATGGTACGGAACGGTTCTATTGGTACCATCCACAACTTTTCATAGCGGAAACGGGGAAAAAAGCACACCAAACTGAACTGTACTGTACCATACTGCTCGGTGGAAATGGGGCTTAAGTGTTATGGTCTCCACCAGGCGTACCTGTCTGCAGCTACTCTCAAAAACTATTGGACCCATTAGCCTAATATTTTGTGTGTACATCTAAGACTGTATGTTCAAGAACTTATTGTGCTGGCAGTGATTCACAGTTGTTGAAAAAACTGTTTTAATGACTGTTCTATACCATCATTGACCGCTGATTCCTCAGTTCTCTTAAACGGCCGGTAGGGGCATGAAGTTTTCCAGCAATCGGCTCAACTAAAAACAACCTAGTATGTCTTACCTAGTATATTACAGGTAAGGCTTGTTGGAAGATGACCAAGGCTCTACACCCACCAACTGTATCACCACACAGAAAGAAGTGTGCATTTACTGGTAGCTCACGTAGCACCCCTGAGCTAGCTAAGGTTACAGCTCAGCCGAGGATGCCATTCATGTTTACATCTCAGGCTGTCACGAGCACGAGCCTCTCATTCACGAGTAGAGACACGCTTCCTTCTGTGCTGTTATACAGTTGGTGGGTGTAGACCGTTAGAAAGAAAATATTCCCTACATGACACTGTTTTAAACCATGTCTGTGGATTATCTTGAGTAACCGGTCATTATTTCTGGAAAGAGACACAACGAAGACCAAAATGTGGCCTGTAACAGATTAGGTAAAGCTTGTTTTTAGACAAGCTGATTACCGGAAAACCTACTGCCCCTAAAAGCCAGTTCAGAGAAATCATGAGTCAGCAGTCAGTGGCGGTATAAAACAGGCAATAAAACAAGTTTTTCAACAATTGAATCACTGCACGTATAAGAAGTTCTTGAGCATACAGTCATAGATGTACACTCAGAATATTAGGCAGACAGACCACACACACACATAACGAAACACATGATCCCCTCCAGGCTTATGTCTGGTGGAGATAGTAACACTGTTGAAGCAGTAAGAGAGTGTAGAGTTTCTTTTAGTTGCCAAGTAGATCTGAAACTCACTCACAACCTCATTTAACACAAGTTGACCCAAAAGCTGTTTGATGTGATGACAAAGGAAAGGCACTGCTCATCTTTTCTCAAGGTCAGAAATGGTTTAGTAAATAAAACAAACTTATTTTTTCTTTAATAAGACTTCAATTTTTTTGCCTTCGGAGAGTCATATCTTCCTTATGTCATACTGTAGGTGCACAGGTTTAAAATTAAATCATATAATGAGAAGGAGGAGTGTGTTGAATAAGACTTATGTCCAGTTCCATCCAGCACAAAATAATTTGTGTATCAATAAATGTCTGTCCACACAGGGCAGCAAATGTCAGAGGAATAAATTTATAGCCAAATGGATCTTAACAATAATCCTTTTGTATTTTTCCGCAGCCGTGTTCACGGTCATGTGCTACAACGTGCTGTGCGACAAGTACGCCACGCGACAGCTGTACGGCTACTGTCCATCCTGGGCCCTCAACTGGGAGTACCGGAAGAAAGGCATCATGGAGGAAATCACCAGCTGTGACGCTGACATCATCAGCCTGCAGGTAAACGAGAGGCTCCTTGATGACAATCCATCTAATAGCTGTTTAGATATTTCAGCCTGGACCAAAGTGTTGGGCTACACAGGATCCATACATGTTAACTAACTTCATAGAATAGACAAGAGACTGTTTGGTGTTCTGTAAGCATCTGAAATAAAGACATAAACTTACTACGCACAGCCAAAATGTACCTGCTTTCCTCTGGCTGTGGATTTTCTATGATTGTGACAGTTTACAGTCTTGCTCTAGCTCACTTGTGACCTTTCACGAGAAGAAGGTTTCTACCCACCATCTGTCCACACACTGACTTCTGATTCGAGCAAGGAACAGTTTCAGCAGGTTTATTGAGCCTTTCACTCTCATCTGTGCTGTAATTATCAGACTGTACTCAGCTGCTATCAACTCCTCCAGAGTCACCAACCACTGCCCTTCAACACAATTAAGTCATTGTCTAGTAGATAAAGAGGCAGACACGACTGATAAACCGTCCTCAGCATTGGAAAGTGTGTTTGTTTTCCTACTAATATCATTATAGAATTCCAGAGAGGGTTTTTCTTTCGTTTATTTTTTATGGAAAGGCATCTTTAGGACGGAGCAACCTCATCTGGATCAGGGAAATGTTTGCCATTTATATGTGGCTAAAGTTTACTCCTTCAGGCACACCTTTGTATGACTCTTAATGACTCTTTTAGGTGACATTTCTTGCCCTGTGTGTCTGCAGGAGGTGGAGACAGAGCAGTACTACACTATGTTTCTGGAAACACTAAAGGAGCGTGGCTACGACGGCTACTTCTGCCCAAAGTCTCGTGCCAAACTGGTCTCTGAACAGGAGAGGAAACACGTGGACGGCTGCGCTGTGTTCTTCAAGACCGAGAAGTGAGTTTAAGAGCTTTGCAGAACAAGATTTATTGAATACATTTGCAGATTTGTAGGTTTTTGTTGGAAATCCTAGAATGTTTTCGAAGGTGATTTTTAGAGGTTGAAGCTTCAGAAGTTAATTTGAAACAGACTCTGACCATGTTTGTACACCACAGTTGAAAAGTTTGTGTATCTTGCCACAAAAGCCTGATTGGGTCCAGTCAGGTGTCTGAGAGGACTGCTCTATGTGTTTGAATGCCTTTAGGTTCAACAAAATGTTATATGAAGGGTTTATTTTGTACCTGGAGAACAAAACGCTGTACAGTGGTTCAACCAGACTGACAACTGAAAGACACAAAGATCCCTCTGACCAACAGCTGAATAAGAACAGAAGAAATCGGCAGTCATTGGTTAAAGAAACTGGAAGCTTAGCATCAAAATATGTGCAGAATTAATTAGGAACAGGATCCTGTTTCAGTGTCAGATGCCCAATAATGCCTTGAACAAGCTGGAATTAACAGGCAATGTTCTTCTTTAGCAAAGCTCTTCTTCAAACTTCACAAGAGGCACAGAAGGTTAGTTCAGGGTTAGCACTGTTGTAGCTGATCCTCAATATTTAGGGCCCAGTTGCACAGTCGTGGTTCAGTAATGATCGAAGGACATTAACGATTTTCTGGACTGAAAAACAAATTCAAAATCAAAGGGTATCTGGAGGAAGAAATGGTTACAAAAGTAGCCCCTTTCAAGGCAGGACTTTTACGCCAATATTCCATCTTGCTGTTTTGTATAAACGGGTCATTGGCTGAATGAGGGGACGGAATTGGCTCCCCTTTAAGCCGGCAGTGGAGGTAGTAGCAATACTAAAACGACGCCTGTGTTGATGTGTTGTTGATGTGTTATGTGTGTGCCCCTCTCCTGGGAGATTTAAAAAGCAGCTGATAGCAGTTAGCAGCTAACTCAAAGAAAAAGAACAGCAGCAAAAAATGTCTGCAATTGGGAAAAACAATGAAATCCGGGGGGCTCTTTACCCTCTGAGCAGAGGACGAAATCAGCCGCCATATAACAGGGACAGTAAATGATTGTTATTGCCATGTTAAAGCCACTGTTACTGTTTATAAAGCGTTGCTGACCCATATGTTATATGTCACACTAGACGCCGACACTGTTGTGTTACATGCTATGCCCATCAGGCCTTTGTTTCCAGGATGCTGGCATAATGTCTAAAATCACTGTGTGATGCGGTATGATGCTGCCGTTGTTCAGTTCTACGTAAAAATACAAAGGCAGCATGAAGAAGGGACTTTCATAGTGAATCTATAGCGCAATCTCTGTATAAAAAGGGCTGTTGCCTAAATGGAAGTCTAAATCATTTGATTCTTCTTCTGGGGTCCAAACCATTTGAAATATAAATAATATATTTGGAGTGTCAAAGATACTGTTTTACATATGTTAAATGGTTTACTTATAAAGGAAGTCAAAAATTATTAATAGTACAGGTGATTCCGAACCTTTGAATGGCTGTGTATGTAGTAAGGCAGGGACATCCCACATCTGAAAATTAAAGCGTGAGTTTCTGAAGTCCTCCGTGGATATTTATGCTGTCTTGTTGATGTTTGTGCAGGTTTACTTTGGTCCAAAAACACACTGTGGAGTTCAACCAGGTGGCCATGGCCAACTCTGAGGGCTCAGAGGTCATGCTGAACAGAGTGATGACCAAAGACAACATCGGGGTGGCTGTTCTGCTCGAGGTCAACAAGGACATGTTCTCCAGTGGTAAGAACATCTTCAGAACAGAAAACAGAGCGTGTAATGTTACAATCCCTTGTTGTTGTTGTGCCGTAAGATGACGATTTTCAGGCCTCAAAAATTGCATTTCTACCCAAAGTTCCCAGGACCTTTAGTCTAAGGCACAACTTTGCAAGGAACTAAAAGGTTCATTCATCCCATTGTTATCTATGTTTTCAATACAGTCTAAAGACCTGTTAGGATTAGGCAAAGTAGTCCAGTGCCACATGAAAAAGCAGCATGACAGGACGAGGGCTGCTGGTAGTTGCAGGGGTGAACACACCCATTTCATCTACAAAAAAAGAACAACACATTGGAAAAAAACACACCTTGGGTTTTGTCTCACTGCAATGACATTTACTGCTGCACCACACTGCTGCAAGCTGGATGTAATTAATTAAATGCAGGGGAAGAAAATGAAACTCAGTCCCCACGGTAAATCCTCTGTTTAGTGTTTGATGGTTATTTATTTGTGCTTTAAAGCAAAACCACCATGAAACAATCAGAAAATAATATTTCATTTCTCTCAGTCTCTGGTTTTCTCACGGCACCACAGTGCTCGATCGGTGCTCTCAGTTCTCTGCCATGATCTCTTTTTTTGTCTGTCTTTTTGAAAATGAGTCTGGAAGTTCACAACAAAGACTAACTTTATTCGTAAAGTTATCAAACAAAGAGAAATGTTCCCCCCTTGTCCTAAAATTGGCCTAAATCGATACTAAAACACTTTCTTGTTTTGACTTGAGCAGTACAAGTTGAAGCAGCAGCGTTGTGTGTTTTATCAATCCAGCGATGGTCATCCCCCAAAACCCCAACCTTGAAGTTCCTGTACTTTCAGTCAAAACCCCCCAATCAGGGACTTTTTGGGGGGAAAATAATGTCCCCACAACTTAATTTAGACCCTGGTCCTTGTGGTCGAAACACTGAGCTCTTCAAAAGCTTCCTAGATCCTGGGGAAAGTTTCTGCGGTCAATAAGGGGCTACAATGTTCCAGCTTCCCAAAAACATGCGTGTAACTTGTTTTAAATTAACCGTTTAGTTTGTAACATGTCAGAAAGGAGTCAAAAGGCACAAGCTGATGTCTCATTGCTTGTTTTGTCAAATCAGCAGTTCACTACCCAAAGATATTTAATAATATAACAGAAAAAAGGCAGCAAAAAGCTGATAAATGACTTGATGATTAATCAATTATCAAAATACTTTTCTGTTAAAAAATCAATTTAGCCAGGGCACAGGTGTATGACCAACTTGGTCAATATTATATTTACTGTGAATTTGCCCACACACATTTGTAACTCAAGTTTACAGTGTTATCATGAGTGTACATGGATCCATGGTTGTAGTGTAGCCAAACATAATTCAATAAAACTGCAGTCAGCTTGTCAGTAATAATTCAAATTAATTATAAACTAGTCCATACCCACTGAGTACAGCATACCATACCATGACTTAGTCATACCAAAAATTAGAAAAACAAAACACCAACATTGGTCCACAGGGGGAGCCATGGCCATGGCATTTTAGCCATTTTAAGCATTTTTCTGTTGTTATAGCGCCACCCAGTTGCCAATTAGAGTTAAATTTCTCCAGTCACCTTGAGGCGTCCTGTTCTACATATCTACCAAGTTTAGTAAAAATCCATATGGCGGTTAGGCCTAGATAAGAAATGAGCTCTCTAGCGCCCCCATTTTGTTTGATGGGGTCAATAATGGAGGGGTCCCCTCAGATTATGTGTGGTCATATGCCTACAAAGTTGCGTGGTGATGGGTGAAACCCTTGAGATGTTATACACCTTTATGTGATGAGCCACGCCCTCCGCAATATTCATTGCCTTATAGAAGCTCAGTTTTAGTAAGTTTTCCAACTTTTGCCAAGAGGGAACTTTAGATATTGGTCCCTAGATTATGTTCACCCAGTTTCATGCAGATCGCTCAAACTTCCTAGGAAGAGATCCATTTGAAGTGTTTTTCAAAAAATTCAAAATGGCGGAAAATCTATATAAGCGGAAGTTATGGGTTCTTGAGGCAAATGTGTTCCTCATGAGGAGAGGCATCTCTGTGCAAAGTTTCATGTCTCTACGACATACGGGGCATGAGATATGCCCATTCAAAGTTTGACATTTCAATGGGTTGCTATAGCGCCCCCCTTTGGCCAATTGATGTAACATTGCTTCATTGGCATCCTCCCATGACCCTCTACCACTGTGCCAAATTTCACATGGATTGACCAAGTCATTGAGGAGAAAAACGTGGAACAGACACACACACACAGAGTTTTCGTCATTATATAGTAAGATTATATAGTAAGATGAGTAAAAGTTTACCTGCAGTAATTTCTTTTTGCCATAAGGTGTCAATACTGACTTTATTTAGAAAGTTAGTCTGTTACATATAAGTTAGTGTAGAGAGTATTTCTGATCCTGCTCAGGTAGCATCTGTTTCATGAGTCTGTTCTGTTGTGGTTTAAACTTTATACATGATTAGTCTTTATTAATTTATTAAACTTTGCAGTGACTGACATGCAGGACGGTATCGCTCCATGTTTTTAATACCAGGGACTGTTTGTGTACAGTATAACTTCCCTGTTTGTGGTTTATTTCTTTCTCACTCACGTCCTGTAATTCCTTCTCTTCCCTCTTATTCTTTTATTTTAATGTCTCAGCACTTCAGATGTTTCTAAAGTTGCATCAGCGCTCTGTGCTTTTCTGTGACCAGAAGTCAACTGTGTTGAGGTTTCATTTGGGGGTTTTGTGGGGATTAACTGTCCCTTCTCAGTCTTTATAAAGTTTTTTTATTGTATATGAAGCTGAGGTAAGCAGTTTAATTTTGGCATTATTGGGCAAAACCCCATAATAAACTACATATTGTGATTCAAGAGGACTGAGAGAAAACTAGACGTCTGCACCTCCTCTTAGCTGCTTTCAGACTTTAGAGAATCTAAAGGGCTTTTTCCACTGTCACTTTTGGTCGCACCGAGTCAAGCCATGCTGTGCCACTTTGCGTTTCCATTATCACTTTAGACACACTGTGCCATGACGAACTGCACCAAAGACCTTTTCCAGAGTAGGTCCAAAAGCCGGGCTGCCCGCCCTCAAGCAGGTCATGGTGATGTCTCGCCAACCTGTGTCTGTTGTCTCTGTGTTCAGCTCTCAGTACGTCTGTAGCTTCTAACTGAATCACTGTGGTTTGGAGTTTAGTTTCTTTCCTGCGTCCTGTTTTTACTTTAGATATCTGCTTTATTTCACTGTTTATGTTCACCATCAGAAGTTGTGGGAAAATGCTGTTAAAAAAATCTCAACATTTCCTTATTTTGCTGCTTCACAATAAAAACAAACAACACAATAACGGGGGACCTTTTTTACGAAGAATGTAAAGTAAATGAAATGCGTTTATCACTGAATTGTGGAACTTTGTTAGTGGCTTTTCTTCAATAAAGGCAAGTCTCATAATACAGCAGGGAGGAAGACTAAAAGCAGAAACAGTGAGATGTTGATGACCCTGCTATATTGGAAATGTAAATCCCTGCTGTGCTGGACTGACGGCCTAAACCAAGCCAAGCCAGCCCATGACTGTTGAAAAGGGATAAAGGCCATGATGGGAGACTTTGGCTAATCAGGGGTCATTTTAGAGAAAGGGCGTTCCTATTTGCAGATGCACATGCTGAAAACCTGATTTAATGGCAGACAGTACTGCAGAGAAGGTTTCTATTCCAGCATTGGCAATAACTGGCTACACTGCAAAGCAACCCAAAAAAGGGAGACTGATGCTGTTGCTGCTGCTGGCCACATGCCTGCTGCAACACCCTCTGCTGGGGGGTTTGCCGTGGCTGAAAACAAAGCCACTACAGCCACCGACCAAAGATCCATCCTCCAAGCTGCTGCCTGCTCTCTTACTAGAGAAGCGGTCCACAGTGGTGGGGAATGGGATGGACAGACTGTGGGATGGCTAGTCGCTAATTCTTCTCTCTTTTTTTGGTCTGATAAGCAGAGAGAAAGCAGGGCGAGAGTGAATGAGCTGTGTGCAACTTTACAGTGAAATAGGATTAAATAATTCAATGTTTGGGAAACACTGGGTCACTATATGAAGTGAGTGCATATGTCCATGGTCGTCTGGTGGGAGGGGCTTAGGACAGAGAGGGGAGAGCTGCAGGAGGAGGCTGTATTTTCAAATTCTGTTGAGTTTGTTGCCTTTTCCAGATTTCTACTTTAATGCTTTGACATATTTATAATCCCTTTTGAGATTTCTCTCATCTCACCTAAACATTATTTTGCATTAGCTGCGTATCTGTTTCATAATCCAGTTTCCTCTTCTCTGTCTTCAGGCATGAAGCCAACACAGGAGAGGCAGCTGATCCTGGTGGCCAACGCCCACATGCACTGGGACCCTGAGTACTCGGACGTCAAGTTGATTCAAACCATGATGTTCCTGTCGGAGCTGAAGAGCATCGCTGAAAGGGCCTCGGGCTCCATGGCGACCGGTTCGCCGACATCCGACCCGTCCTCCATCCCCATCGTCCTGTGTGCTGACCTCAACTCGCTGCCCGACTCCGGTAGGACTGTCTCACTTTTCAGGGACTTTGTTTTAGTCTCGCACTCAATCACTTAGTCTTCTTTAATTTATGTTGCTGCAAATGTAGTTTCGTATTGTTTTATAAAATGAGAGGGATATTCTGGATTCATGCGCCGAGCTTAAGGATAAACATTTCACCTTCTGTATTATCCAGGTGTGGTGGAATACCTGAGCAACGGAGGAGTGGCCGAGAACCACAAGGACTTCAAAGAGTTACGCTACAATGAATGTCTGACCAACTTCAGCTGCAACGGCAAGAATGGCAAGAATGGCAACTCAGATGGGAGCATCACACACAGCTTCCAGCTGAAGAGCGCCTACGACAGCAATCTAATGCCTTACACCAACTACACATATGACTTTAAGGTAAGAACCTCTTAACCTCTATCTGTTTGTGTTCTCTTCAAGTCCGCAGTGCATTTCACATAACTTGTACATTGCGATCACAAAGTTCTTTAGGTGTGCTTTGCTCTTAGCCATTATATTTAGCCCTCTAGATCATATGCTATTGCAATGGAACGTCCTTCCATTAGGCAACATAATGGACAGTCACACAGCACAGGCTCAGTGAGTGCAAACACGAAACTAGCTGACGTGATACAGTATTTTCGATATGGCAGGTTCACATGCAGTATGTGGAATGTTTAATATCACTATGACTGTTTTTGTGATGGGAGATCCCAGTGAGAATGGAAAACCATGAACGTTATCGCGTCTGTAGAGTGTTCGAAACAACACAGCACAACTGTTCTACGCTTTTTTACAGATGCGTTGGTGGTAAAGCGCGTGTCAGTATTTGTTCTGATAAGTCTTGTTGTCTCTGCTCTGGTTTCTAGTGAGTCATGCAGGCAGTTTTTCTGATCTTTTTTTTTGTATGTCAGAAGTCATTGGTTTCCCTTTTCACGCACTCTTAACATGCACAGGTCTCATAAAAACATTGAGCTTATCTCTGTGATACAGATCTTTAAGATATTTTTTTTGGCACCTTTCAGAACAACTAAAGAATCCCTGTGTTGTGTAGAAGTTCATTTTTCTTTGCAGTATCTTGTGTTACTGTCTTTAGATGCATCTTCACTGAGTTTCTGTTTATTTCAGTACATAATTAATTATTAGAAAATTAAAATGAAAAATGAATGATAAGAGAGGCAGAATAAATTAGCTTTCACCAACCAAAGTGTTTTTAGGGACTTCAGGTTTTTTTGGTTTGGAAACAGTTGGCTTTTGCGTCATGAAGCGATTTTATCTGTTAAGTATGCATAGATTAAAATTACTTTGCAGGCAAGTGGATGACCTTTTAGGTTTGAGAGGTTTTTCCTTCTCGAAAACATCAACCCTTCCCATATGCAAAATATTCTTCTTTTTTTTCCCCAAAACTGTCCATTTTCGATAATAAATGTGTAGTTGTAGAAAACTTTTAAGTCCAGCTGCTAGACTCAGTCACTTCTCAGTGCATGTGTTTATTTGGCCCAAGAATGCCAAAGGATATCATTTATAGCATTTATTTTTCTGAAACTAAAATCTAGTCATAAAAACTGAGTATGTCAGATTTTTTTTTTTTTGCAAGATTTCTTTAAGAAAAGTACTGAAGAAGGCAGATTGATGCATCTGTCCCACCTGTGACCTTTTATTTTGGAATCATTCCATAAGATAAAGAATCACATCAGATGACACAAAGAGTTTCCCGACAGGAGTGACATAACCCACGTAGGGTGGATGGAAAGATTAATACCATTCTCATCTCTGTATGCTAGAAAATGAAGCTACAGTGAGGAAGAGGTTAGCTTAGGTTAGCATGAAGACTGGAAACAGGGGACACTTCTAGCCTGTAAAATCTGCATAAGAGCACCTCTAAAGGTCACACATTAACATGTTATATCTTGCTTGTTTAATAAATACTATTAGAATTGTCGCCTTGTGGTTGTATGCCTCTGAGATCAATACTTGAAAATATGGATGTTGCTGAAAGGAAGCTACAAATTGTAAAACATAGATACTTTACAAGCATCTTCAACCCAGAGCTCAACAATCAGCACAGTTTCAAGGAGTCACCAGTTCAGTATCTGACCAAATGTCTCCCCTTCTGTTCCTGAGATATGACGTTGAATAATGGCCAGAAACTTTTTTTTTTTTTTTTTTTTCCGAACATCATAATGTCTCAGTCAAGCTGACCTTTGACCTTTTGGATATAAAATGTCATCACTGAATCCTATTAGATTATTTATGTGACGTTTTGTCATAAATAGCATGTTAATTTTTGAGTTGACGTTTGTGCCAAATTTTAAGAAATCCCCCCAGGTGTTCTTGAGATATCACGTTAACAAGAATGGGACAGACAGATGGATGTGAGATGGACAAACGAACAGACAGCCCAAAAAACATTTTGTCTCCGACCCGGAGACATAAAACGTTACGTGTTGAAACGGCAAATCACTTATTCACATGGGTTTGTGTGCCAGACTAGCTTTTTACCCTTGTTTCCAGTCTTTATTCTAAGCTAACAGTCTCCTGGCTACAGCTTCATGTTTACCATTCATAAATCTAAGTGGTAGGGCGCCCACTAGCTCACGCCATGGAGCAGGTGCCTCATATACAAGGGCTGTGTCCTTTCCAAAGCGGCTGCAGGTTCGGGTTCCAAACCACGACTCTTTGCTACACATCATTCACGCTACAGCTGTCCCATCAGATAAAGGCAATATAGCCCCAAGAGATACCTTAAAAAAATCTGAGTAGTATCAATCTTACCGTCTAATTCTCAGCGACATATGCAAATAAACACATATGTAACTAAGTCAAAGAGACACTTGTCAGGCCTCAAAAACCCACGTTTCGATCTAAGGTTTTAGTCCCAGGTCAAACTTTTCCTTCAGGACAACATATAAGAATGCATTTGGAAAGTTTACCATATTGTGTTTGCATTAAAGGCACTGTGAAATACAAAAAAAGTCTTGTCTGATAAGGAATGAAGTCTTAAGTCCCAGTTTATGGACACATTTCCTTCATAACTCATATTAAAGTTGGGTGACCACCTCTGAATTGATATATTTGTGTCTGCAGGGCGTTATCGACTACATCTTCTTCTCCAAGACCCACATGAGTGTCCTGGGCCTGCTGGGACCGCTGGACAGCCAGTGGCTCATCGACAACAACATCACCGGCTGCCCCCACCCCCACGTCCCCTCGGACCACTTCTCCCTGCTGGCCCAGCTGGAGCTGCACCCTCCCCCGCCCCACTCGCTCAACCCCCTCAACGGGCTGCACCTGCCAGTCCACAGGTAGTGGAGCCCGAGAGAGCCCCGCCAACCTTCAAAACACTGTCCTTCCCTCCCCCCCTCCAGCTTTATACAAGACCCTGTACAGTTTACCAATCATGATAAAACTCAGACACCATCCGACCTTCCAATCCTGAGACACACCTTCCCCAAAAGGAGTGAAGTATTCGCCCGTTTGTTGCTCCTTTTTGTGTTTTTGCACACTGTAAATGTTTATTTTATTACATTTTTTCTCCCCTTGAAAAGGCTTGATACCAAATGTTGGGCTTGGGATGAGGTTGCTATGGTAACCCCCAATGTCAGTTTCTGTTTTTTCTTCTCTTTTTTTTGCCTTACATATGATCAGAACCGCTTGTAGATTCTGCTCCTACAACAACAAACCTAATACTATCAACGTTTTAGTGATAAACTACACGTCAGCAGATTAGCTGAATTAATTGGGGTTTCTTTTGACATTTTCAAACAGCTGTGAAATAATCTTTATAGAGTAAAAACACAACATAATATTAATGCTGCACCACAACATGTACGTTGTGTTACAGTCGCACTCCCAAATAAACTGACAGGTGTTTTAACGAAAGGAGTAACACTACAAGGAACGTTTACAAGGATGTGAAAGGTTTGTTTACATCAGATATTATTGTAAATGCATGTCTATATTTTCAATTAGGATCAGCCGAAAAACAACAAAATACTTAGTTCAATTAAATAAGGAGGAAATACCTACAATTTTTAATGTGAGAAAGTACCAAGTGGGCGTTTTTAAAAGTAATGTAACGACATGATAACACTAAATTGTGTTTCAAATGGGAACTAGAATATCAAATCATCTCGTGTCACAGCTGTCGGTGAATCACTACGCATTGCTAATACTGAAGGAGTTTTTTCTGTATCACATTTTCATATAATTTGGGATTACGCTGCCTAAACAGGATGTCAGCTGACGCATCCTTTTTGCCAGGTAGCAAATCTCAACCTGAAAGACGCCTCACGTCGCTGCGTGAATGCTACTGAGCTGCTGCATTCGCCTCTACGATTTTTCTTCCATAATCCCAGTCTCGTACCTCTTCTTGGTCATGGCTAAATATTTTGCAGAGGTGTCGTGCTCACTGTAGTTTAAAAGATGCAACTTGGAATTTTCCTGCAGCACAATGAAGTTGTAAAACAATCAGTTCAGGCCAAATGAGAGCTAAAATCCTAAATATTAAAAAGCATCACAGCCAAATAAGCCCCCTGCTCTTTGACTTGCTTCGAAAAAAACAAACAAACTAAATATATATTTGTTGTTTGTTCATTGAACAACAATGCGCTTTATACTTTTAGCTTTTGAAGTCGTGCTTTCAAACACCTTAGGTCTTAAAAGAGTATTGTCCCGTTTTCCCTTCACCTGACTGGCCAAAGAATCTCCCCAGAATGAGTGACTTATGATCTGTCGACCATAAGATCAGAGATAAAAACTTCCTGAGAAGAATCCACCAATGATTGGTGACCAGGAGCCGAATGTATTTACCAAATGCTCACTATAAAATCAGTTGTTGGAGCCTCTTAATGCCAGATTCCTGTGGACTTTGTATATTTGTGTCAGATGATTAGAACTAATAGCCCTTTATGTAAGTTGTAACTCAGGGCTATGCTATGCATCCAGCAGTACCTCTCAAACCGAAGACTCTCGGAGTCGCGTCGTAAGAGCAAAACCAAACAGGAAGCTACTGGTTTGAAAATCCTTTATAAAGCACAGGTAATGTATGTACGTACATACATATATGTTGTTGTTGTTGTAGAAGTCCCACGTCTTGGTGATTTTTTTAAAAAATAAAACTGCTGCTGCTGCACTTTTTTTCCATTCCCAAAAAGAGTAACTTGGGAAGTTTAAATTAGTGAAATTTTTGAGTTGTCAGGAGGTGTGAAAAGTGTTCAGATTAATTTGGTTCGGACACTTTTTAAATACATTTTGTTTAATTGTAAGACTCAAGTATCAATGATGGGATAAATGACTGCAGGGGAAGGACTGGGTGTCAAAACTGACTGCACTTCACTGTGTCTGCTGCACTTGCTGGCCTGGTTACGATACTTTTCTACACACACATGCAGGAGAGTCTCGCTTCCCATAAGAAACGCCGCCACACTATGTCACAGTTACACGTAACATCTAAAAGCTGAAGGCTTGGCTGGTGTAAGTCATGGAAAATGAGAACTGGGCAAGTTTTCCCTTTGTATCAAGCACCAAATATGTTGAGTTAATTTGCCTCACTTGACATTGCACGTCCTTCGATACAGCTGTTTCGCATTGCAATGTTGATGCTGAAAGGATGCATCGTGCAGCCCGAAATTGACGTATATCAACGGCTAATTTATGGTAAACATATTCTCTGTTAAGTTATGTTATGGGAAGGTTATAATTAACTGCATTACAAACCACAACATTCCATGAGTTCCATGAGGATTTTTCCAGGTATTCCATGACTATGAGAACCCTATAAAAAAACAGTATCACTCTTTGAGAGCCACTGGTCTAAACACAATCAGCTGTACATCTATTTTGCCTAAAATAAGAGTCAAAAATTGGCAAAATTTTAAGGTAAATCAGGAACAATCTGAGTGAAGAATTAGCAAAAAACAAAAAACTCCATAGTTGATGCAACGGGCACATTTAGACTGGTACAAAATAAAACACTGAGGTTTGACACCCAGCCCTTCCTCTGCAGGGGGACTACAGCTGTCTGCACATGCACTCACAGTGTTTAACATATCTGGCACATTTCACACTGTGGTGTCGAGTAAATCCTGATGTTTTAAGATTAAATTAGTTAAATTAGTCAAAGCATTTGCTTTGTTTAGTATTTGACAAGAAAAGCCATAATTTTCGGGATAAATGGTGTCAGCACAACACGGCACCCTGTAACCTCAGCTTTAAACTGCAGTCAGATCAGTGTAACCAGCCTGGACGGGCAGCATCTGCTTTGCTTCATTTGCACATGATTTGGCGCTAACGCATACACCTCCAGTTCTGGTGGAGTTGATGAAGTCTGTCTTTGTGAGCATTCTGAGGCCTATACTTCACTCCTAAACTCACCTCACTGGGTTTTCTGATTTTGTACAACAAGCTGTACATAAATTAAATTTGCCTTTGATGACGGGGCGTCTTTCACATCTGTGAGGGGAATGTACCATTCTCCAATTACGGGGCGTATTTTTTCTCACAAATCAAAGATGTACCTGGTGTTGTACTTTTTTTCTTTGCCCGGTGCACTAAGATCTCATATGTGAATACCACCTCCACCTGTCTCTGATACTCTTGTGGAGACAAAACTGGTCTCTGTCCAACTTTGTTTTTGAACTACGGGCATTTTCTGTCTCTGACGAACATGCAGTCTTTCAATTGGTACTTTGTACAATTCAGTATTACCAAGTTTTTGAGAAAAAAAGATAAATGTTCTAGGTTAAAAAGCAGTTTGTCTTGATGGCTTTTATTTCGTCAGTGCACATCTTAAGTGACCGCCCAAAGCTCCTCACGCTCTGAGATGATGCTTAATCAAAATTACTTTTGTTTCTGCCTCTTTCTACTCGATGTTTTCCCAAAAAAATGTTTTTCCAGATCCCTTTCACACCCTTTCACCCCACATCCACAGCCACTTCTTCCACATTTTTCATAATAATATCCACCTTTCATTACCTATAAGCATTTGCCCTGTTAATTTTGTCTCTGTAGAGCGCACCTTGCATACTTTTTCTACAAACAACGTGCCTAGTTTGTACAATTTCTCCAACAGCAGCACTGCCCATGAGACCAAGACACTCAGAGATTAACCCAGCGCCATCATCCAGCCATCCATTCATCCATCCATCAATTCATCCCTCCAGTCCTTCCTGAACCAACTCCTGGGGATGAAATCACAAGGAATCACTGCTCACCTCAGACTGGTTTCTGTTTTTTTTTTTTTTTGTTTGTTTGTTTGTTTTTTAAATCAAACAGCTCTTTTGTATCCATAACATCAAGGACAAATCATTTCTACCAGATATCTAAGATGCACACTCTCACTTGTTATTGCAGTTTTTCTCTACAAAGAGTTTGCTGTAAACTTCACAGGATTATCACGATGATCATCGCATGTGATTTCTGAATGTAAAAATCCTGTTGTTGAATATCTGGCCATGGTTTATTTTTTTAAGTTAATTCAGGCTGATTTTACAAATGCGCTACATGAGATTTTTGGTGGCATGAGGATTATCTGTTAAAGCATTTAGCATTCGGATGAAGGGTTTGTTGTTTTTTTAATCAGCTTTTACATGTCAAATTTGACGCCTCCAACTAGGCCAGGCCGCTGCGTCCAAACTGGGAAACATGAACTTAAAGGATGCCGCATAAATGTTTTATTCTCAGTGTATTAACCTGTAAATTATACTGTGGAATATGAATTCAGAAACACACCAAATAAGTGTGATAAAAATGAGGTGATGCACATTTGAGCAGAGTCGATACAACCTTTAAAATGCATGGTGTGTCGTCAAAATTCAAGTAAATCATCTTTGTTAAATTACAAAACTAAACAGGTTAATTCACTGTTTAAATTTTTGGAATGAGGCCATTAGAAAACAAAAGATTTGGACTATAAAGGGGAACGTCAGCAACTTCAGTGTCAAAACACCTTGAAAAGTCTTCGCCGTCACTTTATTTGACAGTTAAGAAAACAACTTTCTTTGACTGTCCTTCCTTCAAACTTACAATTGCCACCTGTCGATTCCAGGAGTGATCAGAAAAAGGAATGCAAGGCTGTTTTTTCTTTAAACAAACTATTTCCTTGGAGCATTCTTAGGAAAAGTATTTTAAAGTTGCTGCCTTTCAGCAACTTAAAGCAAATTTTATTCATGTGAAGCCACCAGCAGTCACCAACGACGGTGCTACATTATTTCTCGAGGATTTTTAAAGAGCTCCACTCAAACCTGTTCTATGTAACAACAGAGTTAAGTTTCTGTTATCAGATTCATGACAAGCAGCTCTTCACCAGATTGGTTTTCAGTCCAACCAGCCTCCACCAAGAGGAAGCTCTCAGTGAGGGTTTGGTTGGAAGGAAAACTTGCAGCTTTGTGGTGGAGAGCTGCCAAACTTAGACGAAGCAGGTTGTGGAAGCCAAAGTGTGCGTCGTGTCTGACAAGTAAATGTCAAGAACTGCACAACTGCAGCGACACAAGTTACTGTTCGCCTGCGAGGACGAGTGGAAGTTTGTCTAACGTAGGTGGCAGTGCTGACTTTGTGGTTTTCCTCTGACAAAAAAATACAGATCTATCCTTTGTAGAAGTTCTCCTTACTTTTGTTTTGAAAATTAAAGCTGCACACTGCAGATGGAAAGTCAGGATTTGTCTCTTAAGTCATGAAGGCCCAGTGGAATCTGAATCCCCCAGAAAAAGACTTAAAATCAGTGAAAGGCACCAAATTACCTCATTAGTTTCTTTCTTACAAGATATATCACAGCCTTACTAAAACTGGTGACATATATAGAACTTAGAAATAAGAATATCTGCAGCACCTTTCATCAATTTTGGATGAAGATCTCCTGTTCTAATTTGGGGATTTTTTATGCTTTCATAAACTTTACAAGATTACATTCTCCTCTGTGAATTGACACATTTCTTCTTAAATCATAATAAACGTATTATTTATGTTGCACTTTTCTCAAAGGAAAACCCTGATCGTACACATAAGGTTAAGTTTTCCTGTTTGGAGGAGTACTACTACATTTAAAAGTTTTAAAAAATAACCCTGATTATGCAATAGGGATGTCATCAGGGTTTATCCAAGCTTGCGATTAGAGACTTAAAATTATTAATGGAGATGCGTAGGATTTGAAAGGAGAAGGAATTTAGAGAGCAGTATGGAAACTTTAGGATGCAGTGTTTTTGCAGTTTGACCCAAACTATGGACTGAAATTCAGGATGTCTAATCTCGCAGTTGAGATTGTGACCATCCTTTTTGTGAAATCACTGGTGTACGTACACTGTTTGCCAAAGTCATAAAGTGTTTTGCAAGGAAAAGACAAAGACAAACAATGCAAATATAAACATAATGTGACATACTGGCTTTTTTCAGACTGCAAGCAAACCAGATTTTTCTCTCAAACCAGATCTTTAAGACAGACTGTTCATACTGTTATCTGCAAGTGATCGGATCAGATTTGTGTGTCCAGATATCAGTAACCTATCTGCATGGGTTACTGTGGTCACAACATAGGCATCAGTACTATGTAGGTAGTGATGCTGTAGGTACGTAGGTCAGTACTAACAAGGAAGCATGAGAAATGGAGGTCCATTATTTGGCCCTCCGAGCAATCGTCAAGTTGTGGTGCAGAACTCTTCCATAGTGCTATGCAAGCAAATTGGATTCTGCTCAGCACTTCCTTCGCTCTGGATTTGATGTTGTTGCGTTGCGAGTGAAACAAAAGACACTTTGAAATCTGATTTGAGCGGCCAGGCTGTGACACATCTGTAAAAACCTGATTGGAATTGCATTTCAGACAATCTGATATGTAGTTTAGATTGGATTTGCTGTCCAGACTATCAAAAATCAATCTGGATATTCTAAAAAACAGAAATAGGCTGGCAGTCTGAACACAGCCTTTTTTCAGGAATGATAAAATTAGGTCCCCAAAAAGCTGACATTTGGGTTACAGCGGAGGTTTTCATCCAAAAAACAAAGTGATGGTCGAACATTTTGTGAACCTCACTGGCTCCTGGGGGAAGCCACTTATTTTGTCTCAACATATTGACATGACTGGAGGACCTCTACAAAGGCTACAGCTGTATTTAGTATGTAAAGCTGTTACACCTCAGTTGAAACCAAACATGCTCAACAGCACTTGTATCATCTCTCCACACACAGCCCCGACTCTCTCCACCTCCTGTAGGCAATAAACATGTCATTTTTTTGAAAGATTCTTTGTGTCTATGATTTTTATTCGTCATGAGAAGACAAGTCATGGATTCAACGTGAACATGTCAAAGGTTACAGCATTATCCCAAATATAATCGAGGCATTTGATTCACATTACAGAGTCAAAGTTACAGGACAGCATCTTCTATTTGTCCTCATTAAAATTTAATTGACTTCACAGTATAGATTTGTGGGCTCTGACACTAATATGGCAACATAAACACATTTAAAACATTTTTATTTCAGAGTCTGAGTATCCATGCAGCAATAATGAATTCCCTGATAACACATTATATACTTAAAACAGCACAGATAAAGTCTATGACAACAAGAGTCAGTACTTCAGGCATATGAGGAAGCACTAAAACAGCATTATTGTGCTAATATTCACATTTTATCAACATCTAAAACTTAAAAAAAAAAGCCCAATGCATCAAAGAAAACTTCAGCTTAAGATGCTGAATTGTATAAAATTTGATTACAAACAGTTTTTAAAGCTGGACAGCATCTCCTGCAGTCATTCACAGTTTGATGAATTTAAATGAAGCCACAGATATGTCAAAACGTGCCACAAAATGTGATCAGTTAGTTGTGGAGGCAGCAGTGGATGGCTTGGCAGTTGAGTTCTGGTTTTTACTGTAATCAAAACAAGACAAGAAAAATTGATTGTAGATAGAGCAAGTAACAGTTACATCATAAAACAATACAAGACACAGTAACTCAGTGTTGCATGGTGGTCAAGGATGACATGATAATGACCGAGCAGATACAGTACTATAGGATTCTAGTAAAGTTTTTAGAACCATTACCACAATTACTGATGACAAAGACAGGAGGAAGCCATTCCTTTGACACAATGAAATACCAGTAAATCCACACTGTCGGAGAAGATATGACTTTTTTGTTTGTATTTGTTTTCAAGGACAGAAAATTAGAAAACAGAAGCTTGTCAAATACAACAGTGATAAAAGATAAAAGTGCCTCCAAATTGATATTATAAAGTTCTGTGTTCTGTGGTGATCAGCAGTGATGTGGTGGTTCACTTTTACACTGTGATCTGTAGCCTATAGTTCGGCTTTAGCTTCTAACTATCTTTGTCTTTTTAACCTGTTGTTGCTGCTGAGTCAGTTTGACATCCTGGATATATCCTTCAAACACAGATTGTAGACCCCTCTGTCTGCTTCTCTCTGGAATCACTGTTTAGTTTCTACAAAAATATGATACTATTTCTTCAGGGAGTGCAGTTAGTTACAGTGTGGGCTCCATGCTAGCTTGACCGACCATCACAAAGGGGCGGGGCTAAGCGAAGGGTCAGTTGGTTGTGTCTGACTTACAGTCCAAAATGTGAAGACAATCGATTTATAATGATATAAAAAAATCCAGGTATTTTAAACTGATCTTATTGATTAAAATCATGTTGATGTACAAGAACGCAATCACCGATAGAAGTAAAAGCAAATCGTTACCTTTGCAAACGCTTGAGCAGGCTGTTGGCCCACTCTGCGTTGGGGTCGACACAAACACGAGAGTTGTTCTTCCTGGTGACTCTGTGGAAAAAGGACAGGGGTTACATTTTGTATTTCTAATAAGAGTGAAGAAGCTCTCAGACTGTACTCAATGTATATGTAAAGTTTCAGTTAAACAGAATTGAAACCTGCAGTATTTTTACTTAAGTGATACAATACTACAGTTGTGTATTTTGAAATACTAGTCGATAACTTGTGTTTTTTCCAATTTGTGCAACTTCGTTCTTCTACTTCACAACTTTCACTTTTGCTCTGAGTGCAGAGTTGAAGTTGCGTCACTGCTTTGATGACAAACCAGAGCAGGGGTAGGAAGTATATTAGATTTACTCAAATGCTGCACTTGAAGGAATAGTACAACTTTATGGGAGATGCACTTATTTTGGGATGCAATTAGCTTAGCTTAGCATAAAGACTGGAAGCATGGGGAAACAGCTAGCCTGGCCCTCTCCCAAGTTAAAAAATAAATGAGAAAAAATAAAATGAAAGTGCTCTAGACGTGCTGCTGGTTGTATTTTTGAATTGTGGAGACCGCTAAGCTAGCTGTCTCCCCCTTAGATGTATAACATTAACTAGATACTAGACCCCAAGATGGCGCCTATTCAGCCCCGTGGAATTACTTGCAGGGTGGCATACACCAAAAGTTTCTAGCTTCCGGGTTTACAGTATGTGACCCACTGAATATGCATAGCAGTGTTTCTCCCACTAGCCCCGCCCACAATCAGCTAATCCAATTTACACTGTGATGACATCACAGATTTTAAAATCACTTTTCTCATCTCAAGAAAGTTTTATGAATATGAAACCTCCATGGATCAAAAATTGATCATAGAAAGAGTCATAATTGACCTTGTTTGCAATTTGAGGTGTCTTGTCAACAGTTTTACAGATGTATCTTTTGCAGTGGTGGTCTACAGAGAAAATACTTTTTGAGGTGTGGGGGATTTTTGTCACTGCAGTAACACGAGGGGCCAATGGAAAAAAATGGAGGCAAAGCTGAGCTACTTCCTGAGGCCCTGGTGTCCCCCTGCTTCCAGTCTTTATGCTAAGCTAACTACCCAGATGCTCTAATTCTGTGGCTGCTGCACAGACATGACTGTTTTATGTCAGGAAAGCAACTGAGCATATTTCCTAAAATGTTAGAATATTGCTGCAAGTACAGTTTAAAGGTATTCATACTTAGTGGTTATATAATACTTATGCTTCACTACATTTCAGAGGGAAAAATTGTACTTTTTACTGCACTACATCAGATAGTCACTTTGCAGATTAGCATTTTACACATAAAATATATAAGCTTAAAAGATATAATGCATTTTGTTCAACAGTATGTAAAATTGCTCCATCTCATGCAAAATATAGCAACAACAGGGTGTTGCACTTTCACTGTCAGTACTTTAAGTACCGTATATTTTGCTGATATTACTTTAGGTTGGTAAAACTTTGAGTATCAGTGTTTTACTTGTAACTGAGTATTTTTACACTGTGTTATTGCTACTGAGTAATTTTTCTACTACTGGTATATTTAGCTACTATTACTGTACTTTTTAAGTACATTGGGAAGGCTAGGTTTTTTCTAACAGTGGATTTTGTTTTTTACATACTTTACTTTAGAATGAATCCTCTCTTAGCTCTACTCATATCATGATATAATGACATAATAACTAATGACAGCAGCTGTAACAAAAACAGAATCAATCTTGACTACTCACATGACTTCAGTCCGGCGACAGTATCCAGTGATAGGAAACACCTCAATTTTCTTGATGATCTGGACAGGAACGACATTAGAGGTCGTCCGTGCGCATTGGCACCTGCCTGCCTGAAGAGCTGTGGAAAAATTAAATTAAAAAAAGCTTAATTATTTAATTCATTTATTAATTCAATCTGTAGTGATTAAAAATCAGTCTGACTTTGTTAAGCCTCAAAATGACAACAAATTTTACTCCTGAGAAAACCCTGAAAATGAGAATGAACTGAACTCAAGGTACATCAGGTCAGTAGCTTTTTCATGGATCTTTCAACCACATCTCCCTGTCTTCCTGAGATGACTGAGTTTGCTCAGTTTCAAACTATGAAAAATGTAAACCTTGATTCTTGTGATAACAGGTGGTCTTACATGAGCAAACTCTGTCACCTGAGAAAGACTGAGAGATGTGGTTAAAAGCTCCAGAAAAAAGCAAGTAAGTGGATCTTGAGTTATGAAACTACTGTTTCCAAGATCAAAAATGAACTTTGACACTTAACTGAACTATTTACTTTCACATGCAAAACTAAAAGTTTAATCAAACGTTTATCAGTGCAAGTTGCAGTGTTTTTGATTAAAAAATAAAATAAAATGATATAAAAAAGTAGTGTTGTGTCTTGCGCTTTACGACAGAATAATGAAAAGTATAAAACCAGGTAAATTAAAATAAGATAAATTAATTCAATGTTAAAAAAATTGAACAATACTTTTCAACCCAGTGAATACGAACAACATGGGACAATTATTAAAGAAAAATAAAATGTGTTGACAAATTGCCTGCCTACTGCAAATATAAGAATGAATATGTACAAAATCTGATGTTAGGGCAACATGTTACAAGTTACAGCAAAACATTGTTTTGTTTACTTTAATTATTTGATGTTAGAGTAACAAAAACATTAGAGTAACACCAAGTGCCTAAAGATATTAAGACAAGATATTAAGACAAGTAAAGTATAACAATATGCAGATGACACCTTACTGTTTGATTAACTCCAGTTGCACAAATTTTAAAGAATACTATACTAAACTGAGAGCATGTAATCCGAAAAAACAAGAGGTAATATTAAAAAATCCTACCTAATTATGTCATTAACAGTTTTAAATAAAAAATGGAAAATCTCTCACCATGCATAGAGGCAATGCAGCAGCAGAGAGTCAGAGCAACCAGGAGGAGCAGTGGTTTAGTCATCATCTCGGCGGTTGTTTTGATCTTCCAGCACCAATGAGGATGTGAGAGTGATGAGAGTGGAGTAGAGTCTGGACTTATAAAGCGGCAAATAAGGAAGTATGCGTAGGAAGCACTTTTCCTGTCCTGACACATCAAAAATGTAAAAATGTGGCATCTTCAATTTTTAGGGGGGGGGTTTCCGCTCATTTGAGTGGGTGTGTTTTTTGATAATTGGTACTGTTAAACTTGTGTTTTGTGTTATAATGACGGATATATTTGTGTATACTGAAACTCTATCTGGAAATTAAAACAACTAAAATCCCAAAATCCATAGACTGTACATGTATGCACAAAACATTATACAAAGGTAGCATCTTGAGTTAATCTTCTACCAGCAGTCCGCAGGGACCTCCACGCTGTGCTGCTGACATCGCCGCCTTTGCACACAGAGAGCTTGGGATGACAGCGGGCAGGGCCAGTAGGTGTAAGATCTGCGCAGAGCACCAAAACAAAAACACAGACACACCACCAAGAGTTATACAATAACATCCAAAACACATGTATCACCATTTGTGGTTTCTGTGACGTGAGAAATACTTTGTAAAGAGGTAAAGTCTTGCAATATCACTGTTTCTGTGATTTCAACATGCAGTTGTTATTCATAATGTATTATCATCAGGGATTAGGGTGTCTCCTCCAGACACATTTGCAGTGATGCAGGACACGTGTCCGAACATCTAGAAATAAAAATTTCCATTATCAATTAACACTTGGATTTTTTTTTTTCTGAAATAATATTGTTAATGCAGCAAAAGCCACAGAGCGCCTAAATTCAAGCAACTCGTCCTCCAACTAAACGATAAAATTGGCTGTCAGTGCCTTCCAACGAGTAAAGGACAGTTATGAAAATGACTCAAGGGTGAAACTAACTGGCTAATGTAAAAGAAAGATCATGGACATGTTTAAGTAAGTAAGTAAGTAAGTAAGTAAATTTTATTTATATAGCACTTCTCACAGAGAGGACTCACAAAGTGCTTCACAAGATAAAATACAAAAAATACAATAACAGAAACAATGCAAAATACACAAAAACAAACAAAAAGTAAAGTGTAGCGAAATACAGAGATGGTACAGTGGACAATTAATTAATGGAACGCAAGCCTAAACAGAATGTCCACAAAAATGTCCACGGAAGAGGCCGCTCTCAGCTCATGAGGTAAAGACAGTGTGTATCAGCCAACTGCTTAGCTTTTTGTGGTTGAGTGTGGCAAAACAACAATTACTGGATGAGATGGGCCATGTTTAGATAAAAGGTCACGTACCCAATCAACCCGGTCTCACTCTGAAGTCGTTGAAATACAGTGCTTAGGCAGTGACTTGCGGTGTCAAACGCTGACGAAAAAAAAGCCATCAGCATGATACCCACCCAGTCGCCATGATAGTTAAACGGTGCTTGGTGGCGTCAGGGGGAAACACAATGTGACAAGAACGAAAGTTAAGGCGACAAAAGTCTGCACAGGGTGGGACAAACACCGACTTTCATCTGAGAGAGCAATGTTTGCGTACCGGAAGGTTATAAAGCCAAACCCTGTTCTTTTTCCCTAAACCCAACCACGTGCGTTAGTTGTTGAAGGAAAAAAAAAGTCAATTTGCGGCGTTGTACTGACATTTATTTTGAAAGAGACTGTATGCAGCTTTAATTTTCCTTTTGCAAGGAGACAATGCATGTAACAGACAGAACTTGACACACCGTCCCAGAACGGCAACAACCAACACACCCCGGATACCTTTCACGTCGTACCTGAACGTGGAAAGTCCATGACGAGGTGATGAGGTTGGAGTGAGAATGGGTTGGCCCAATAGACACAGGTCCCAGACAATCCAGACAGATGGCAGCTTAATTGCCATCCCGGGCGGACTTTGTATGGGATGTCCAGATATTTTAAACCCACCAGCGTGCTCACTGTTCTACTATAAAAATGGGAATTTCAGTGTATTCTAACCATGAACTATCTTCTCTTTTAAAAACAGCGCTTAAATGTAAACTTGAAATAATATATAAATTTAATCCAGCATAAAAACATCCTGATGGTTTCAATATTCATTTTCTGACAGTGATTCTGCTGATCTTGGCTACTACTACCAACAGAAATAAAAGTCTCTGTCATCATGTTATAGCCTTCTTATATTCATCATTTAATAAAAATTTTGAACTCATACTAAAAATGGCATTAAATATCAATATTTTTCAAGGTATTGTGTTGAAGTTCCAGTTGTGACAACACTACACAGATAAAAGAAATAAACCAGACCAGAATGAATTGTAGCCACAAGAGGGTGGTGTATTTCATCTTGCAGGTGGTTTAAAGTTTTAAGACTGAATTGGATTTTATGTGTCTGATTGTCTTGTAGCAGATTTATATAAATATCCTGCTCTACAAGCTAATTTTTGAATGAATAATCCCACTGACTGAGTCTGACAATGTCTTAAAGAGGGTGCACATTTTGCTGGAGGGTCGCTGAACTGACGGGCCGCTGCAAACAGTCAGGTAGAGAAAAAAAATCAATGAACTACTGCATGAATTATAAATCCAGAACAGACCGAAGGAAATTCTGGGACAGACAAAGAGTAGTTGCAGCAGTGTGGGATTAACCCGGGCCAGAATCAGGAACAGAGAGTCTTGCAAGGATACTGGAGAGTACAAAGAACCAAACTCTGGCAGAGCTGTACTTCTGTATTTGCCTAACTGATGTCCACCACATCCTTTTCTGGTAAGTAATTAATTGAGGGAACTCTTTCCCTCCCCCTAGCACACCCCAAAATTAGACTGAAGTTCCCGTTCATGAAAATAAGATGTATATTCTTTTAAATTTGGGTAAACTAAGTCATGTACAGTAAACACTGAACTCAGCTGGGATCAAGTTGGGGACTGCCAAACAATCACACGGTGCTTCTACCGGGTCAAGACACGACACTGAAAGTTTGAGGTTGAACTTTACACGCATGTTTCTTATTTAATTATATTTCATGTTAATCCACTTAAAAGTGAATATAGTCACTGTGACATCACGCTAACAACAACAATCACTTTCGAGTAGCCAGTGATTTGAATTGCGGAGATATTTGAAAATCGGCAAACTGTTGTTGTTGTTTTTTGTCATTTTCAGCCACAACTGTCTCAACATTTAAAGATATAGTAAACACTTTTCTGCTGTGCTTATTTTATATGCTGTGTTGCTGCTTTGATAAACCAAATGTACTGACACTGAATTTAATTTTTTTATATATATTTCAGTTTAAGTGTACACTATATTTAGGAATTTTTTTATCACTTTACCTTACACATTTTTGAGGCGCTTAAAATGCTTAAACGCGTAAAGGCAAGATAATTTTTTGCCCAATTCTGTGACTGTACCGTTTATAAAGGACGGCGAGGTGGAATAACAGTGTGAAACTCTTGCCTTGAACAGGCAGTGTTAAAGGAGGGCTTCAGTTCCCCATTGGAAATCGCAGTCTTACAGCAAGGCAATGTGGTGAAAATATTCTAAATATAGCGTACAGAAACTAATACTTATTTTTTTGGTGGGCCTTTATTTGGTGGCTCAAAACAAACCGAGGCAGAGATTGCTCAATGCTGTTTCACGATGATGATGCGGGGGTTTCCCCTTTAAGCTGTTGTTAACAACACTGTGATTCAATCTATTATAAGGGGTGTTCTGGAGGTCCATGTTCTTGGTGTAAGAATTTTTAAGTATATATTGTTTCAGATGTAATCATTGGAAGGGACCCGTGGGGACCAGTGATCTCATTTAGCAACACTGTGTACGCACAAAACGAGGCCTGAAAGAGGAGTAAGCCACTTCCCACGCAAAAGTTGTGATCTATTAAAACAGACTTGGTTAATCATCCCCCAGAAGAACTTTTTATTTTATTTTAGATATGACCACATTTTATTTTAATCTCAGACTGAGATATGTGGGTTTATATTTTGGGTTTTGGCTCACTTGGAAATTCCTTGGTGAATGTATAATGCTGCAATCATCAAGAGAGAAGTATGAGGAGGAAGTTGAAATAATATGTAAAGTTATGTAGTCTGAGAGCATAAGATATCCATTTGAAGAAGCGATATTATGTCATACACGGTTATTTGAGGGAATAACATTTTGAATTTGAAGAAATATGCTACAGGCTCTTGTAGGATCACTGCTCTGTTGCTTCAAGTCAGAGGTCAATTAAGGCAGTGACTGTGATAGGTTTTCAATGTAGTGAGTCCCAAGGACACACAGGAGATCATTTGAGACCCAATAAAATGTATGTTTTTATGAAGTTTTGTAACCAAGTTCCGTAACAAAGACCACGCCTCGATCTCATCTATTTCTGCACTAAAAATATTTAAGCACACCTTATCTGTTTCCCTCCCTGTTATCTCTTCCTTTTCTCTCTCCGTCCACGGAATACAGGAATCACCACGGGGCTCTATCCGTAATAGAGCTGGCGAAAAGATGACACCCCCACTCTGTCTCACCTTCCCTGGTTCCGTGTGACTGTCTGGAACCCTGATTTCTCTCATCATCTCTCCCACACCACCTTTGTTCCTTCCCCATCATCTACATCCCCTCATCCCTCAATCCCTCAACCTTCATCCAACATCCTACAACCCTCATTCCAAATCCCACATTACTCGATCGTCTTCCCTTCAGCCAGCATCCCTCGACGCTCATTCTAAATTCTTTGACCCTCGTTCTAAATCCCACATCCGTCGATCCTCTTCCCTCATCCCTCGACCTTCATCTCTTCAACCCACAGCCCTCGTTCCTCTTCCTTCCATCCCTTGACCCTCATCCCTTCATCCCACATACCTCATTTCAAATCCCTCAAGCCTCATCCCTTCATTCCAAATCCTTCGACCTTCATCCCTTATTCCTTGATCCTCTTCCCACCATCCCTTGACCCTCATCCCTCAACTCTTGTCCCTCATCCTTCAACCCTCATCCCTTCATTCCACATCCCTCAACCCTCATTCCAAATCAGTGGAATCATGGAATAAACTAATTGTAACT